CATTTGCTGTCATGTTAAACTTATATTAAAGTTTTTCTTCATTACCCATTTAAGCCGTCTCCAGCCATTATTAGTCTTACTCCATACTAGTACACACGGTGTTTAAAATATTAAAATCCACAAACGAACAAGGTTTTATAATACATAATTAAAATATTTATTTAAACAGATCAACAGTTGTAAAAGTCACTCATGTTTCAACATGGTTTCACGTCATCTTCAGGAGTGTGAAAATTCAATCCTTGGCAGTAATTTTGATTTTTAAACCTTCAGGCCTCTTGCCTAAAAGATAATCAGGGGCGCTCAGAAACTATTGTTTCTCTTCGCCCCGCTCGCGGAATTATGGTTGATATGTCCAGTATAATTTTCTGAGATGTGAAAACTCTGCATTAGCTGAACATGTAAATTATACTAGACATATCATCCAGTGGGAAAAAAGGGTTGTTTTGGCTCAACCGAATGATATGACTGCTAGAAATATTAGAGAAACCATTGAAATCATGAAACACAGCAAAAACAATTATATCATAAATAAGGATGAAGGGTTAGAAAATCAAAAAGTATGTAGATGGCGTGATCTTCCTTTTTGAATTGTAAACTAGTGTCACATGACCATGGCTTTTATACTTATATAGCACACAGTAAGTGTTTCGATTATCTTCGTCGAGGCATGAAAGATTTAAAAGCAAAAAATATTGCCAAGAGTGGGATTTTCAAACCTAAAGATGACGTGAAACACGTAAAGTGACTTTTATAACCGTGATCGGTTTAAATAAAGATTTTATTTGTATACTATAAAACAGTGTTCATTTGTGGATTTTAATATCTTAAATATATACACAAGTTCCCTGAATTTTAACCTTTTAACACACGGTGTTGCCCCAAAGTTAGCTCAACGCACTCGATGGCCCAAAGGAGTGTTGAAATCGAAAAAAGCAATATGGCAGTTTCTTTGAGGGATGCGCCACTTGTGATAGTTAACTTAAAGTTTACCGTAAATGTTGATGTAGCAACCCTTTTTTTAAAAAAGAAAACCATTATAAAAACACAACGTATAAATGGAAACAAATATATTTATCTAGCAACGTTTTAAGCAATTACTCGACATCAGGCTCTAATATGAAAATGTATTACGCCTTGAGGATAGATCTCCCAAAGTTGTGTAAATACCAAGTCTTCTGAAAACTTTCTTTATTGCTTCATGTCCGTCTCAGATATCAATTGATTGTCATTTTCCTACCACTGAAAGTGCAAAGCGTGTTCAGTGGCATCGTGTCTCGAACCCTAGACCTTTTGATCCACAGACCGACATGGTAATAACTAGGCCACGCCCAACTAATTGTTTTTTGTATTTTTCTATCGTTTTCCGCTGTAGAAATGTTCAAGATTTAAAATATGTGAAATATGAATAGAAGTCATAGACCTACGTTGGGGGGGGGGGGGTCCTAACAGCCCCATGAAACTATTACAAGAGGCATAATAAAATGTGCCCTGTTTAATAAGATCAATAATGAATGGTAAATTTCCTGTGGTGTCATAAGAAAGCATAGAATTAGTACGTTATGAAGAACGTGTTCTAAGTATTTGTACATCTTTCGTGTTCTTTATTTTCCTCACATTCTCTGTAGCTTTATCACTGAAGCTTGGAATTGGTCCTTTTTTAGATTAGATGTTTCCGATCGATTACACAGGCCTGTGATGGTTCTATTGTCTTGAAATTTTTACATGTTCTACAGTAATTCTTGTACGCTGAATCCGAAAATGATATCCATTTTTCTCAACCACGTACAGATTTTTCACAAAACGTCATAACGCAATACATAAAAGAAAAACCACAACACGTAGTTTTGAGACTAAAAGACGTAGATTAAAAAAACAAAAACAGGATGAATAAGGATGCATATTCGTTTGACGTCAATGTTCTTCCCTTTTCTTCAGTTTGTTTGTATTCTTGTTAACAAACATAATAATAAAAAAATGTTCATTGTGCTAAACGAAATAATAATTGTTATCTAAATAAGAGTTTTTTTTCTTCCCGCTTTGTAAAAAAATCTTTACGTGATAG